CCCTGCTCAGCCGACACCTATTCACCCTGATCCACTCCCAAAGTTTCCTGGAAACTTTTATTATTTTTGTTTTTAGCCAATTTTTTTGAAAGTCCACTTCTCACTCTATTCCCACATTAAATTCCCAATTACATAAAATTTTGTTTCTGCGCCTTTTTCTATGTTTTTCCATGTTAATAAAAAAATCGTTAAGGCGCAAGCCCGTGGAGCTGATGTTGAGTTCCCACCATGGGTAGTACGATTGTCGCACAGCCGTCCACGACAGTTCCCGGAATCGGTGATGCGACGTGGCGAAATGGTCATACCTCTTCAGGTGAGCTAACGGCGTTTTCCGTTAAAACAATACAGGAACATTCAAGGTCTTAGGAAATGGAAAGTTGAAGCCTCACAAGAAGCAAACTCTCCATCGCAACACAGTAGGTGGTTGCGCTTCATTTTTAAGGACATGGCGTCTTCCCACTTTCTATTTCCAGCGAAACCTTCCTGGTGGAGAACTCTGATAGGATGTAACCCTTATGTATGTAATCTATATGTTCTTACTATAACGCACAGACATGACCAAACATCTTTGCAAGACACGTCGCAAGAAGCTTTGACTTCATGCCTCTCTAGGACACAAGAGGTTAAGTTCCCTTTTTTAATGAAAAAATCGCTTCAATCTAAGATATCTGTCAACAGCTAGGCCTCCCTCTCCTTCCTTCTCTCTTCCCTCTTCCTTATTTTCCTTCCTTCTAATAGTCGGCCTGACGTGCGATAAGGAAATACCTCTAGACCCTCGCAGTGACAGAATATCCGACTTGCAGAAGCCTTGCAACCGAAAAAACTAACAACACTAAGGATTTCCGGCGAAGTAGGCGGGTACAGGGTACAGCACCGTGATGTGTGAAATGGTGGTGTCGGTGCGACACCCCCACCTAGGAGAGGGTCTCGGTATCTCGGTACAACCCCCCCCCTTCCCTAACACCTCCTATCAATTTCCCACATTTTCCAGTTTTTCACCCAGGGAGGAAGGGAGGGGGAATATAGTACCCATGAGACAGGAAAGATCACGCGAAAGGTCAACAACCGGGAAGAATTTGTTCCCAAGCGGAAAATTTCGCTCGAAGCTACACATGACTCCCCCTATCCCAACAACTACCGAATACGACCCCCCCACCAGCGGAAAAGTACGTCCCCTCCCCCCTCCCCCCTATGTGTTTCACCAACGATGCCCACAATATGTTAGAGCGCCAGGCAGGATTTACAGTGGATCTCTCCGTCCATTTTCATCTCGTGCTGGCACGCCTTTGGAGAGGGAAGGAGCGTGGTGCAATCACGCCGTTCACTACGATCCAAGTTCGGTCGAGTTTCAAATTGGCCCCGTCCAGGCCGACCGAACCTCCCATCGCTTCAATGTCGGCCAGTTGGTGCGCGTGTGGGAGGAAAAATATACCGATTTTTACATGGACTGGTCCTCGAACGTCGTCGCACCTGCCGGATCATTCATTGCCTGCTAGCACTTCGGTATAGAGTAGAATGCGCAGTGTATCCCAAAGTCGAAACTTTTTTCTTGGCGTATAAACTGCTTATCTTCTTTGAGGTGACAGTGCTGTTTCCTCTGGATAATTTCCAACAACTTTTACTTGCTGTTTTATCCCCTTAGCCTCACATTAGTAAATTGTCGAGGATCGTGCTCACACAAAACAAAGCCATTTAAATTTCTTCGAGAAATACCCATCTCTTGCCCATACCTGAGCCACCGTTCCACTTCATCATATCGAACCGTGATATTCTCAAATCATTTCCAGTTCATGTTTTATACTTGAAGCAAGAATACTCCAAACAATGGCTGATCGTTTGTCTCAACTAGCCACGCATGCTGTCGCTCATCGTTTTTCCACAGTCACAAAAAGTAGACCCATCAGGAGTCGCCCAATCTCTTCCATTGCGTCTTATCGGGACAAATCACCTTAATAATCGATATGTTCCCGGGTAGTTTCATAACTGGAATCCTTCTCTGGACACCATCTTCAGGGGCTTTTCCAAAAATGAATGGTCCATCGCTTTTGGATACCTTCGGAACTTGAGTCAGCCTTGTAGAACTAACTGAATGTGCCAGAACAGCGGTGATCAGCGGCCAGGTGAGCAGCTCATACCTAGCTCCTCATACCTAGCTTTCAAGACATAATTCGCCATGACCCAGCAGGAAGTTCGTTGGTATTGGGTCAGAAATAGAATTCTATGTTCTAGTTGACTGGTGAATAAAAAAGCAAAGGAACATCAAAAACGCTCAAAGTCAGGCTTTCCGTGTGCTAAGCGGCAGACCAAGAATCGATGTGGTCCTTGAGGCGAAAGGCCAAGCAAGAGCGACGAGAGAGCACGCAAACGAGTAAGACAACAGATTAGATAGCTATCAGCCTGGGCGGAGTCACTAACTTTTCGGCAGAATCACTTGTGCAGCCTTGTGCCTTACTGCCGCTACCTTACAACTTTCTGACGCGAAACCTGTACAAGATTGTTCGTTGCGATTTCCACTATCTTCCCCTTCAAATAGCTCAAATACTTATAAATGGTCGTAGGACGTGCCTACAAGGACACCCTCAATTCATTTAACGTCTCGACGTCTGATTCGAACGAGGCAGTTGTACCGGAAGCATGGAGAATCGTTTTTGAACTTGGAGGTGCATTTGAAGCAGCTCTTGGAGTGGAATTCCTTATGGACGCACTTACAGCCTGGAAAGTACTGATGTTGAAGGGAAGAGTGAAGCACACCGCGTTTTCAACGTTTTTAGCGCACCATACCATACTTCCTTCAAGAAACTTGAAAGCAGTTGATACAATAAATTCCTAACGACAAGTGAGTAGGATAAATACGCCAGGCAGGCGGAGTTCTGCACCCATGAGCAGGCGCTGCGTAGCGCCTTTTTAACGTACCCTCAGAAGGCCCTTCCAAGCTGCAGCATCCCTAGCTAGACGCCCACCACGCCCGCCCGTGCACAAATGGACGACCGTACCTGGTGCTCGTACTGCTCATTCGCGAAGTAAGAGATGAAGCGAAGGGATTGATATGACGCCGCCACAATGCTGCATGGGCATGCAGGTACATACATCAGCCATATCTACCGTAGCGGTTATTGGCACCATGCCTACAGTGAACTAGTCCAAAATCGCTTTCTGACCACGCGACCTGTCGCTCGGAAAATTTTTCGGAGAATACGACATCCTAATTCTCTCCTCTGATGCGACCTTCCCCATCTACCTAACACTTTCCTAGGTGACCCAACTTCCTGTCACGTTTCCAGTTGTTCCGGAATTTCCCGGGAGTTTTCTGGTTTTTCTCCAAAATCTGCTGTCGAGCGAGGAGGGAGAAGGGAATTCCCCTCTAAGGCAAATGCGACTCTCCCCCCCCCCTTTCCCAACTACGGGCACGACTCTTCCCCCATTATAGCACCCGTGCATCACGAAAAATCAACTATAAAAAAAAGTTTTTCGGGCCAATTACGACCCCCCCGCGCTTAGGGTTTCTCGTACGACGTGGTCTGCAAGCAATCCTGAAATTCATTTTCAGCCTCTGCTCCACATTTGTTTTAGCACTGACTTCGGGTCCTGATGTTCGCCGGTTGGCGCTTTGAACTCAAGTCTTGGGGTGATTGAAGTGTCGTGTCAGAAGAAGAGAAATCGTTTTCGACTTGTCCACAGAACGGATGTCATGTTCGTGACCATGCGTCTCGATCCCTTCAAACGTTACTTCATAACAAGTTCTGTGAAAGAAGTAGCGGCGCGTAGTGAAAAATCTGGCATCAAATGGCGCTTTTGCTAAAAATGATTATCATAATCGAATTAGGTTCCCAAATAGTCCTAGTGACAAACTTTGGGCAAGAAATTTGGGATTTCGAGTTTGCTCGTTCTGAGGTTGTACTACCCTAATGGCAAAAAGTCTCCGTCTCGCGTGTTCAAGCATTGCCAGTAATTCACACACCAGAAAGACAAGCAGAAAACTCGAGGCGAAAGTTGCAGCAAAAACGGCGCGGATGTTGAATGTGATAAGATCAGCTAGCGTACGATTGTACGGTACTAGTTTGGAAAGAAATTCCTGTGACACCTTGACCAAAATTTCGGACCAAATTCTCCTTCACTAAGAGACACCTCCAATAATAATTACCATTTATAGCTAGGACTGGTACCCACCTTTTGCATAGGTTCTCATTTCCACTCTTATAGAACTACCGCCACTACGAAGAGGTGGACCTCATTTCCGAGTAGACGTCGATTTTCGGCATTTTTGCTCTCTAAAAGGTAGGGATCAAAGGACGTGGTAATTAGAGGCTGCCAACTCTGGTAAATAAGCTGGGTACGGTCGTATTCCCTGATCGACATCCATGATCTTTTGGCGTAGCCTGATCCTCACATGTGGTCTTCGCCTTGCCGAGTAGTAAAAAGGAAATGAGTGTTTCTGAATGGATTCAAACGTGACGTCATCCATGTTTTAATGTTGATTAGTGAGTGAAGTAACCGTAAGCCTTGCTGGGCCAGTATTCAGCGACATCGCTTTGAAGTCCCACCAATAACAAAGTCTTTATTCCATGCACATCTGCTTTTGGTTAAGCAATCTAACTCTTCTCCTGAGAATCCTGTGGGGAATATGTTGCCATATTTATCAAGACTCCAACACTCGCTAACAACCACAGGACCTCACAAAAGTTTTTCTAGTGTGTACGAAAAGACAAACTCGTTACGACCATTTCGTGTAACTTGATTCAGTCTTGGTCCATCTGCGTGAAGATCCTTCACAAAAAATTTCCCCATAACTGAGATTGCAGCCGAAATCATGGCAGTTGTCAGTTAGGTGGGGCCTAGAGAGGTTGCCAAACTACTGGAGGTTGTGCTCGGTTTGTGTAAACGGCCTCCATTCTATCACCTCGCAAGCGCTGATACAAAGGAACCCTCTGCCATGGCAAGCGACATCCTCCCTTGAGACAACGCAGGTATTAGCCCTCAGCTACGCGGAGTAGCCCAAAGCAGCTCTCTAATATAGGATAGGTCGAAAAGTACCTTGAAGGTCGAAAAGTACCTTAACCTTTGGAGGACTAAGGCTTTGAAAGCTTCCACAAGCTCATAATATACTCGTTGCTCAAGGGAACACTCTCCATACTCCAGTATTTGAAACATTTGGTGTGTATCTTTTCGATTTCTTCTAGAACAATTAATCAAATGTCAGCAGGACTTTCTTCGAACCGAAATAGTTCTGCGAGCGTTGTGTTCACCAGCAACACGATAATTCCGACTAACTACAAGGGCATCATAATCGTGATTTATGAGGCTCCGAAGGCGATTCTGCAGGAACTGTAGCCGCCTGGTGTACATATTATCCTCGCGTCGAGTTTCAAAAGAAATAAAGGTATCATCATACCAGGTTCCGCCTTCGAGCAAGTGTTAGTCATTTAACAAATGAGTTGAAAGGGATAGTTCTTCTAAACGTGTAAATGCCAGCCTTACCTGCAGCGAAATTCATCCCTAGTGAACGTTTTGTAGAGTTTTACGCTTTGCCTTCTTCTGCAGTTACCCTATTTTCTCTCGATTTGGAGCACATTTAGCAGAATCCGCTTCGCCGACAACGTATGCGAAAACATATAGAGAATCAGAGCTTCGACAAATTCCCTGCTTTTTCCCCATACTTTAAACTTCCAACTGGTTCTCAAACACTTCTTATCGAATTTAGATAATTAATACGGATAAGAACAAAGAAAATGCACGCGCAAGCAAGTGAGGAAGAAACATTGGCGGCGTGCGGAGCGAAAGTGTGTGCTATACATGGGTGCGCCTTATACTTCAGAAGATAGGATAATCGTTGCATCCCGCAATATTTGCAACTAAAGGCAGTCTCTCAGCTTGCAACCCTTGCTTGGCATGTGCCACGAATTCTACTTATACTCTTGATCGCCACTGCATTTTGGAGATTGGCGATTCGGCGCATGCAATGAATTTCGGAAACCAACTTATAAACAAATCAGTGCTTTCGTTCCCAGGCAAAGTCCGCTACCATATATCGGACCCTGTATAGATGAGTAAAGACTTGGTTCACCAGGACAGAACTGCTGTCGACAGTGGTTCCCTCGACCGTTCTCGTGTGAGTTACTACTACACTCAGGGCACACTTCCCGCCGAGAAATTTTTTTTTGCAAACTACGGCCACCTTCAACATTTCTCCCTCTGCTACGAACCCCTGCCCTCCTCCCTTTCCCCTATCCACCATTAATTATACAGCACATATCGAACGGGAATATTGAGAAAATTGAAGAATCGAAAACATTTTACTCAAAGCCGAATACAACCCCCTGCCCCTCACTCCTGCGACCAGCAGCCAAATGCGACTCCCGTCGTTGGGGCCCCAACGACGGGGGCCCCAACATTTGGTTTGGTACAATTGCTTTGACTACACTACCTCCGAATTTATTGTCGACTGCCGCCTCTAGGCCGTAGAATCTCCACTTTTTAGATGCTTCTATTACGCAGACGCTTCTCCATATCTCGGTAAAGCTGTGTTCATCCTTTGCGAAAACATCTACCAGCGACCAATAGCGTCCACCAGCGTCAAATCGTCCGGCAGCGCCAGCGAGTAGGAAAGCAAGGAAATCGATCGTCGTGCTAGCGTCTGCTAGCGTCCACCAGCAATCAGCAGCGTCTCGAAGACTAGGGAAATATAGGTATTAATCCAGCTGCCAGCGTCCACCCCAGCAGCAGACCGCGACCTTCGATTTTTCAACAAGTATTGGTAAATTGCTGTTGTTGGCAATTTCGGCAAATGACAAAACATTGTAGCGTCTACCGTAGGAGAGTACTCTCGAGTGAATAGAACGTTGTAATCGCATGGCTTTATGACGGGCGATGCGGCACGATGAGACCCAGGTCTCAGTATTGTTTTGTCCCAGCACTGCCCTACAATACAGTTACTCGGGGTCTGGTACTATGACGAGCAACGGTGGCCTGTCTTGTGTAGTGGTGTGGTACATCCATTTGTCGATCTGAATGCCGAGGAACAGGCAACATACACCGACAGCGCCGATTTTATTCTCTGTATAGAGCCGCCTGAAAGCCACAGTGTGGGAATCCTTTGCTATGATGATCATCCACTTGCGCCACGTAACTCTTCATGGTAGAACTCGGGCGGCTTCTCATCTGCATTCATACAAAATGAACGATGTGAGTTTCAGCTTGCAGTCGCGAGAGCACAACCCATATTTCATTTAAGCGCTGGTAGTGCGCTTTCACAGTTGGAGTGACAAACTCGATGCTGTGGCGGGATGAGAAAATTTACTGCTAGGGTATAGGAACCGGTACTGCGTTCGTATGCTTCTATAATGAAATGGGTACCCGATGGCGGCGAGCAGCCGTGACCCCGGTCATTTTATGCGTCATTACAGCGTAGCAAAATTGCGAGCAGGATGTCGAGTCTCGCGGGGAGAGAAGAAGCGACAGTGGTCGTGGCGCTCGTGTTGGATCGAGATATTCAGGCGCTGACTTCATCCACCGCGTTGGTTTCTGTGTGGGCGAGGAGTCAATGATCTGATGGACCATCACGAACAACAAGATTTTTGTCGGCCTTCTTCCTTGTACGGGGCTCCTGAAGGCCAGGAGATCTTCCACCATGTGTTTCGAGAACACCCTTACACACAACTATGGTCCGGCGCAGGTCAAATTTGAGCAGCGCACTTTCCTCTTATGACGTCTGATTTGAAAAACCGGCGCCGATTTTCACCACTCGGGCTTCTTTTCAATTTCTCGAGAACTTCTTCTGTGGGTAGGTTCGCCAAATTTCACAGATACACAGCTTAAGGTACTAGCTTCCAAATGGTATAGTAGCCCGCTGCTCTATCCCCTTTGCTTTTCTGCCATTCCTCTATATGTAGCGGCCAGTTTGAATGGGATGACCTAATACCTCCTACCGCCCATACTTGCCACTCCCGGACGCTGATGGTCGCTGGTAGACGCTCTCAGGCGCTAGATCAATACCTGTACTTTGCTAGCCTTCGCCCTCGAAACGCTGCTAGTCGCTGGTAGGCGCTGGATTGATCGGCTATACTTTATTAGTCGCTGACGCCGGTGGACGCCATTGGTCGCTGGTGGACACCGCCGCAGTATGAACGCTGATTAAACCGACTATTTTCACTCCTAGCGCCTTAATTACGTCCGCGCATTGGTTACCATCACAAATTGCAGAGTAGACACCAATTTACACAGCCAAGGTGAAGATGAAATTGGAATTTCTTGCTTTTTTTCACCGAAACACTTCTTTTCAGTATGGAACGAATAAGTGCGCTAGTCAGAAAGGAATGACACCGTACGGCTTGGCACGTCAGATCAAACCTGATCCATCGGGATGACACCATTTTCGTCTTATCTATGTTGTAACCATGTCGATTGTGCACATACTATTCATTTAAATAAAAATTCATTTATTAATTTACAGTGTAATTTCTAATACCCTCAAGGCAGACTTTGTATTACATTCACTATTACTACTACTCTATTTCATATCTGAGAATTTAATAATGGGATGCAGTTGAACGCGTACACAACAACACAAATGTATAAAAAAGCGCTAGATTCATGAAATAGAGCATTTCGCCCTCACAAAGAAAAAACCTACAAGAAAATCGTCTTTACTATTACACAAAGAGGTTCTACATGGAACGTCTACAAGATAGATAAACGAAGATGATGATGATGGTGATGAAAAGGGAAATTTTTGCCGAATAATGAAAATGGCATTTTCGTCAACGAGATAAGAAAACTGCAAGAGGTTCGAATAGCACTATTAACAAATAAACCGACCCATACATAAAAAATCGAATCACAAACGCAGAATTATGGAAAAATGAACACGAAGTGTAAAAACAGTAATCAACCGTACAGTATTAATCAAAGGGAATAGAGGAGGACGAAAAATTGGAAAAAAAAATCAAAATAAACGTTTAACATTAAAATAATCTACATGTAATCACTGAGGATATCCACCATTTGTGTTGGGTTTTTTTCAAACATTCAACAATGCACATCAGATGAACACAGGGACCAAAAAGGAATATGCCGGGATCTGTGTTCTGTCAAAATATTCTGTGCAAAATAGTATGAGATAACGCTGTACCAGTAGTACATTAACATCATTTCCTTAGGGTACAATTTCTAACTATAGATAACCAAATAAGCAGATGGTTTCTGAACACGTTCATTATGAGGCTTCTATGAAGAAAACAAACAAACAAAAAATGGAAAACTTAGTGTGATAAACTTGGAGACACTGGAATAACACAGGTGGCTAAATTTTAAGCAACAGGGCGAGACATGGAGAAGTATTTGGAAGAAAAAGAATAGGAAGACAAAAAATACAACAAGAGGACAGATGACCGTTGATCACGAAACTGTAGAATATTCAATAACGCCCAACACGAGACTATCGCGCTCGTGAAGGATAGAGGAGGACCGAGACAAAACGCCTGAAAAATACGATTTGTGGGTTGAATACTCAATAAATTCTACTGGTGTATACCGTACTCTTAAAAATTGCGCGTGAAATGAATGTGTCGCGCCGTGAAGGCACACAATCAGTCATACAGTAAGCTGGTTTAGCAACACGAGTTTTGAGTCGGGGAACATCACCGTTGGGATTCCCCAACAGGAAGGGGTCGTATGTGGTAGGTGGGAGAGGGGGGGGGGCGTATTTTCTAGTCCTGGGAGTTCTGACAGAGGTTGTTGACTTTTCGTGGTTTTTCCTGATCCATACGTTTTATATACCCCCTCTCTCCTACCGCTTCAGAGCAAAATTAAAAGAGAGAGGAAATTTTGAAAAATTTCGGGAAATTCCGGGAAAACATTAGGCAGTTGGGAAAATCCTAAAAGAATGGTAGAAGTAGTGGAAGGAGGCGGTGTCCTATTTTCCTCGCGGTTTTTCCCGTTTCACATGTGCTATTCTCTCCAATTCCCCCCTCCCCAGCTCGATGAGGAGGAACTAAGGGGGAGGGGTCGTACGGACTCAACCAAAATCTCCAGTCAATGATGTGCCCTGCTTGAGATACTTTTATTAACCTCGTCTTCCAGGTTACTGCTAGGAAATGGGAGCAATGCTAATAATGCAACGCCCCGTACTTAATATTCCCGGACTCCGCTGATCGCTGGCAGACGCTAGATCGATTTCTACATTTTCTTAGCCCACGAAACGCTGCTTGTCGGTGGTGGCGTTTGCAGACGCTTGCAGATGCTGGAAAACGCTAGACTGACATCTAAACTTTCCTAGCCCCGACGCTGCCGGACGCTCGGAACACTGGTGGACGCTATTGGTCGCTGGTGGACGTTGCCGCAAAGTATGAGCGCGCCGTACAGAGGATGGGATGGGGCACCAACAGTGAATGAGAACAGTAAATAGGAGCTGATAAGCGGCGTTGCCGCTGTCACACTATTTGAGGTAAAGCTTTCGCACTAACTAATCACCATGATCTAGTGTGTAGGGTGATGGATGACAGGTAATTGTTATCAGTTCTTAAAAAAAGGATAGGTAAAGCTGTATTATGCCCAACGATGTGGGGGCAGTCAGCGCCAGCCAACTTTTATCCATTAACTACTTAAACGCTTCTAGGAAACCTTCATTCACCATAATGGGTATATGCGATCGTACTGCCAGTCTTAGCCAAAGGAAATCCTCATATGTGTACCGACACATCTGGGTCACGCCTGCTTCTCGCTATTTACGATTCATTACAATTCATGGTGTCGTCAACCATCCCCTAGATGGGTAAATGAGAAAGAGGATGTAACTTGCGCTTTTGCGGAATGTGCAGGAAAACAACGAGCTCCGAGCGGATGAGGAAAACTTGTACGTACAAAACAGACAATTTTAGCTGAATGCGTTTTACTTACTTCTTACGTGCCTTACGAGGGTGTTTGGTGGAATATTCATTCAGTTTAGCTTTCGAACTGAATCGTCGCCTACAGAGACCCGAACAAGTTTCAAGTGTTAGATTCCGGTATGCCGGCACCTCTAGCGTTTCTGACATCATGTCAGATACCCCTCAAGAACGCCAATACCGCAGAAACACACTCGTTGACAGTTCGGCAGTCTGCGCGGAAAATACTTGCACCTTCCACGGATTACGTTTTATAGTGTTTCTCAGTTTGCAAGTGACGAAACACACACCTATATTCACCGAAAGGTAATTACGGCGAGCTTTTGCAAGAATACTGCGTCTTGATTGATAAAGATACCTGTAGCACTATTAAACCCTGTTAGCGCAACTATTTCAGTTCTCCCAATGAAACAAAAGCTAACCCTTACCTCATTTTGGACTACACGAAAATCAGTGGACATCAGCGCACCCTGAAGAGAAGAGCTAGAAATATTGCTGCCATTTGAACTTGAAGGACTCGCCGACGAAGCGGATCCTGACAAGAATCCACTTCCTCGAATGACCCGTGGCGAATCTGCAGTGGTCGAGTCTGGCAGCGAATCACGAACCTGAAACTTTTACTTTAAGTATCTGAAACCACGAGCACAAACACTCAATTATCTGAGCACAGACAACAACAACAAGCGATGATCTTTTTTAGGCTCAAGTAATAGAATTTTTTTGATTCTCACTTCGCTTCATATGAATAGTAGGAGCGGTGGGCTGAAAGCGTCTTTGGAAACGTTGGAACAATTTGCCAGTCTATGCCACGATTGTTGGGGTACCACTCACCCACTTCTCCTTAACTGTGATCCGTCTAGAGCCAGATTTTGGTACTAGGAAATACCTCATCCAGTTACGGTGGGCGCGGCCTGCGACCCTTGTCCCATTTCGCTCATTTAAAGGAGTCCAGCGATAAAGTGTCATGGATAGTTGCTGTTCAGTTATGAAACAGTAGCTGATAAGTAATTCCCCAAAAAAAGAAAAAAGCAAGAAGAGTCCTCAAGAACACCATAAACAAAATCGCTCCCTGACAGTCACACCGCCCTGCGGTCTCTGTGCAACCCCTGGCTCACAAATGCTTTTTCGCATCTCCCAGTAATGGATATCATCCAATGCAAAGAAAGAATATGAAAAACATCGAAAATGCAGACGAAAAACTCTTGATAAAAGTTTCAAAAACACTGGCGTAAGAATTTAGGGTCACTGGCGTGCTTCTTTTAGCGAGCTTTTGCACCAAGGGAATTGCAATGCTCGTGATTTACGCCTTTTACCCTGCGAGAGGGTTGCAGTTGACTAATAAATAAAATGCAGTAAATAAGAGCAGAGTCACTTCTGGGCGCGAGCGCGGTCAGCAAAGAAGGGCGAATCCGATTAATGCCCGCCACCCCAACAAAGAACAACTAAGCGGCCCTCCGTCAGAGGGCAAGGAAGTGGCGGTCCAACTGGACGGGCGCTAAAACTAGAACTTTCAGTCTTCACTCTGAAGTAGCGAGAGTGGGATAGTCTCTTAGCCTGGAGGCTGGACCACTTGCACAAGGAAGGACGACCACGAATTACTTGAGCGGGGGGGGGGCTGCCTTTAACACCACCTCTGAGCATCCGAGCGCTAGAGGTCACTTAACATCTTATCGCACATCTTTCGGGACCATCCTACCATTGGGCGTTGGGTGCCTCATAATGATTTGGCTGATGTTTCTCAGTTATGGTTGGCTTGAATACGGTTTCTGACGTATTCTTCACTTTACTTTATCTTGCTTTTCATTCAACGTTATTGTAAGTACATATGTTCAACGTTATTAATGGTGCCTGGGTGGTTCCCCCTTGGTAGGCATTGATTTTTGGGGACTGAACAACGTAAAAAATCAAGTAAGATCCAAGATAAAATTTTCAGAAATAGTGATGAAAATAGACAATTTCACCTAATGACGCACCGCCACTTCGATTGTAGTTGAATCCACAGTAGGAGACGTAGCAGTGGGTGTTTGTGACACAGTCAAGGCGTTTGTGGGTGGAGCAGAGAGAGACAGCACTCCCGTCAGTGAATTTGAACTACTAAAAGGTATAGTATTATATTTGTAAAATATGAAAACAGAAATCTATTGAACATGAACCAACTTGCTGGCAACACTGTCAGGTCTGGCCGGGACATTTGCTATAACGTTGAACGGAGCATGCAGTGAGTTGCCATTAGAACTTGGAGAGCGTGAATTCGAGTCGTTCAAATATTGTAGAAAGTGTGTTGATACTACAACGAAAACTGTTGAGACAAAGAACAAGTCGTCAAGAAATAAAAGCTTACAGATTCCATCGTTACTGTTTCCATTACTCGCAATGGCGTTGAAAAGTGTATTACATTCATCATCCCCTGCTGCACCGGAAGGAATAACTGCCCTAACCGGTGCTCCGCCAGTAAGCATTGAGGTCGGAATTGGAGTTACCCG